TGTTTACAATCTTATAGGCTTATTTACTTTGGATACTTCCATAGCTGGGTTGGTTTCTGGGTTATATCATCATGTGTGTTAATGGTCAGTTGTTGTTGGCTGTTGTTGCTTCTCTGTCCAAAGAGTTCCCTTTAGCATCTCTTGTAAGATTGGTCTGGTTTGAACAAATTCCCTTAATTTCTGCTTCTCTGGAATTGTCCTGATATCACTATCATATTTGAGGGACAATCTTGCCAGGTACATAATTCTTGGCTGGAAATTTTTCTCTTTCAGTGTTTTATATATATCATCCCATTGTCTTCTTGCCTGCATGATTTCTGCTGAGAAATCTGAGCTTAGTCTTATTGGTTGCCCCTTGTAGGCAACTATTTTTTTTCCCTGTGCTGCTTTCAGGATTCTTTCTTTGTTTTTGGAGTAGGCAAGTTTGTTGATGATATATGTCTGTGATTTTTTTTTGGGGTCTATCCTGGTTGGGATTCGTTGGACTTCCTGAATTTCTATATTCTCATCTTTCATCATACCAGGAAAATTCTCTTCCAACAAATCTTCGACAATTTTCTCTGTGGTTTTATTTGTCTCTTCCTGTTCTGGAATTCCAATGACATGTAAGTTATTCCTTTTGATGGTATCCCACATGAATCTTGGGCTTTCTTCATTATGCTTTGATCTTTTTTCTGATTGATCCCTTTCCAAAGAAGTACTAAGGTATTTGTCTTCAATCTCACTAATTCGGTCTTCCATTGATTCACTTCTACTCCTTTGCCCATTCAGTGTCTTATCTATTTCTGAAAAGTTAGTATTAATCTTCTGGATTTCTGTGTGTAAATTTTGTATCATTTCTAATTTTTCATTTATTTTGTCATTTTGTTCTCATATTGTCTTTTGAAATTGTTCTAGGGTTTTCTCTTTGTTTTCCTCAATTTCAGAGGAATTTTATTTCTTTTTATGGCTGAGTAATATCCCGTTGTATGTATATCCTACATTTTATTTATCCATTCATCTGTTGATGAATATTTAGATTGTTTCTACCTTTTGATTGATCTGCCTCTCAATTTGTCGAAGATGCCTTGTGGTATGGTAAATTACTTTGTGTGGCTTTTCTACCCATAAGTCTTTGTAAACTCCAAGGTGGGATTTGCTGTGAGCAACTGAGGAGCTCCTGATTGCTGAAGGTGTCCACCTGGAGTATTTCTGTTAGCAGTGGCACAAAACAATGTTCTGGGAGGTGCCCACTCTCTCAGGTGCT